GAGCATGCCCCCCGACCCCGGAGGCTGTGCTGGGGTTTAAGACACACACACACACACACACACACACACACACACACACACACACACACACCTTTCCAGTACAATTTTTATGTCTCCTAATTTCCATTATATACCCAAGCACTTGATTTTCAAAGACCTGCCACAGCGTATTGCTAATGATTCCTTTTACTCACAAACCTGTTCAGTTATTTTGAGACATGCCCTTCTCTAACACAAATGGGTCAACCAGATTAATATACAGAGGGAGAAAACACTATGCTCTAAATGAGGGGTTCTTTTGCAAAGCCCACCTTTTACCTGAATTCCCTATAATCCCCCCCCCCCCATTTTGAAAATACACTCTGGTCATTAGAGAATAAAGTAGCCTTTAAATTCTGAAGCCTAAGGAGTTAGGAAAGTCACTCCTCCACTGGGCAAGCCTGGAATTCATGAGGGAAAATCTGATTTCAAGTTGTTCTTACGGCCCAGGACCAGATGCTTCAAGGTGGCCAGAAACCTTTGTCTACACCCACTTAGCAGATTTCTGGCTCTTTATCAGGGACTCAGAGGTTTATTTGCAGAAATGAATCATTTCCTTCAAAGTCTCCCTTACCCTATTTACATGCTTGCATATTCCTTCCATTTTGTTTTCCCCCTACAGCGTTACTAAGGAATTAATTATCGAGAAGAACAGGAACATACAGTAAGTACATCTGAGATCCAGGATGGGACACAGTATGTCATCTATTAGGCCTGGCTAAGACCAGCAGCTGACGCTAAATGGGAAGGAACACGCACCAAATGGTTTTTAATCACAAAGTTAGTAATTAATTGCTCTTTAAAATACATTTTATGCTTCTTTCTGTCTGTGTACATGAAATGCACATTTATTACATGCCAAAAATTACAACATTATGGTTTCAATGTGACTGGCACGGAAGTCCGGAAACCAGAGTTAATGTCCCCACAGCAACTTTAATCCTGTCTGCGTGCACATGTAGAGCATGTCTTCCGTTACAGGGTAATACACAGAGATGGTTTGGGGAGGGGCACTAACGGCTCGTCTCCTCAACTGTAGCTACAGTGAGCCACAAAGGGTAAAGGCTGCTCCTTTGCACAGACATGGCTAACAACAATGTCCCCATGCCGGTGTTGTGTAACCACGGAATGAAAGAGCCTGCTGTGACGCTGCGCTCGGCACTCAAGGGGACAGTTTCTGTTGCTGTGGGAACCTGAACTTTGCATTTCCTGACTTGGGGGTAATTAAAATGTCAGCCTTAATGTGGCATTAATGGAGTTTGCCATAAAAATCCTCTTTGTTTTGTTCTCCCAGAAATTGCTTAAAAGTTCAAAATGATCCAAGTGTACTAAAAATTTAATCACAGGGCCTTGGATGAGTGAAGGGAAGAAGAAGAAGAAGAAGAAGAAGAAGAAGAAGAAGAAGAAGAAGAAGAAGAAGAAGAAGAAGAAGAAGAAGAAGAAGAAGAAGAAAGAGAGAGAGAGAGACAGAGACAGAGACAGAGACAGAGAGACAGAGAGAGGGAGAGGGAGGAGGCCAGGGAAGATGGCAGGCAGGAGCCAGGAAAGGAAGAGCCCACAGGCTCCTCGACAGCAGGCAGCCTCAGCAGCACCATGCTACCTACACAGCTAAACTTAAACCCACCCACGCAACAGTTTGGTAATGTGTAAAGGTTAAATTAAAAATAAATAAAAACTGTTAATGAATAAATGCATCTTGGCAAGGACACAAAAACCAGACAGTCTGATGAGGCCAGCACAAAAACACTGGAAGGTAAGTGACCATGACAAAAGAAACTAATGCCGATCTCCCGCAGAAGCAGTGAGGACCACCAAAGGGAGGTGTGCTTCCCCCTTCCATGGGAGCCTTATCTGGGGGGGAAACAAGATGGAAGAAATATGCAAATAAAGTTCTGGCTGCATCTATCACATGAGTCTGACTGTGACGTGCCACAGCTTGATAGTTGTCAGGACAGGCTTGCCTAGGGCTCTTGCACCCTTTCTATTCCCCAATTCATCTTAGTGCCTTCTATTATTGTCATCTGAATTTGTTTACCATTATGCTTTCAGAAATACTGTAGAGGTGACAAGCTCTGTGGAAATGGAAATAGTGCCGAGAGGAGATCGTGTTGGGAGTGCATCGCCAAACAGCATGCATCTCTGTGGCAAGGTAACAGCAGCATCTCGCTGAAGGAAAGCATATCGGACTATGCTACTTCTGCTTTTGGATATCACTAGGATCTTTGGCCAAGGCGACAGTGCCGCAGCACAGCAGCCTATATAGCCAACTGATCATTTAAGGCACTGGGCTGATCATCTCTACACGAGTATATGCAAAAGCACCGTGGCTTGTCACCTTTCCTAGTTACAACAGAGTCGACTTCTCTTCTGTGGGGATGATTTATCTACTGTGGTTTTGAACCACATCACCATTATGAGTAGCCACACACTTCCAAGATGCCTGTTTATAGCTAGGAATACCATCTTTGCGCTTTGAACAGAGAGTTCTGGATGCTCAGAATGAGAGCGGATTCGTAAGCGCTCGTCAGCACCCACGTGAGTGAACTGCAGGCAAATCCTTCCTCAGTCAGGTGTCAGTTTTCTCAGCTCTCTCATCTGTAAATTGGGAGGAATCATGCTGACGGACAGGAACTGGGCATTAAGTCATGACTAAGAATAATTTTGCTAAGCACACAACAAAATAAAAAGGTGCTATGAAAATTCAAGCACTTGTGAAAGCTTGAACTGGTAGAATGTTCCTGAAGTTAAAGAGACTAACAAGTCAAGGGCACTATTTTTAAATGCCCCAAATCTGTTCATTCTAAATAGGAACTGAATATTTTACCTTAAAGAAATTAGGCTTTTAAATTAATCTATGGTAAGAATGACATTTGAAAGTAAAAAAAAAAAATTCTCTTGAATGCAAGAAGAGCATCCAAAAAATTTAACAGCTTAAAATAAACTCCTTTCCTGTCTTCTCTCAAGCAACCTCCAAATGGACAGATTTCTGTGAATCTTTCCTAAAAACAATCTTCCTCTAAGTGTAGGCTCAAATCAGGACAAACTACAATCCAAATATGTTTGGAGAGAAGTATAATCTGTTTCAACAACAGGTCGGTGTGGAGAAGACTTACACATCTTAATGGCAAAATCAAAGTGACTTTCTAGACAGCTGAGATGAAGTGTCTCCTCCCACTTCGGACTCCTTCCAACTGTATTCACACACCCCACTGAGCTCCACTCTGCTGGCTTCCATAGGGTCTGTAGTGACAACACCGTCTTGCTGCTCCTTCTACATATGCCAGGCAAGAAGGGCAAGCAAGGCCTGGCCAGAGGATGCTTACAATACTGGACGTGAAGCACAGTGGTTTTTCTATTCAGTCCGGCATTATTTGGTTGGACCAGATCTCTGGGCCATCCCATACAATCTTCCCCAGAGGTATGGCGGGAAGCCAGTGATGAAGGTGTACACACTGAGACTCCAGGCCTTTTACCAGAGGGAAAGCCACCTTCCTGGTCTGCAGGGGCAGTGTGCACAAGTCTGTGGGGCACTGTGCCATGCTATTTTCAAGTTCTTCCTGTAATTACTATTAGGCTGGAGACTTCCGGGCAAGAAAATCCAAGGACATGACTATGATGATGGTCCACAGGATAAAGTCCCTGCTTCCGCCCCTCCACGTCTAAAAAGAAGCCGCAAGTTTGACTGTACAGATCACGTGGCACTTAGTGACTTGGATCTCATTTTCTTTCCATTTTCCAGTGACAGCTGGAGTGTGGCTGCAGCCCAACCCCTGCCCTAGCTCACATCCTCTGTCTAGAGGCTATGATGGCAGAGTGGGTGGGGGAGGGAATCTCCCAGATTCACCCTTTGTCCTCCTTGCAGAATTTTACATTTGTTCTGCGAGAAAAATAACAGCAAGAGATTTGGAATTTCATTTCCTAATGGAGATTTTTTTTTTTGAATTTTGTCTTTGAGGAACAGGATAAATGGAGCCCTTTTGGGGAATAAAGCTTTCTTGGTATATTTAACTCCCTCCATTATGCCAACTCTCTGCCTGTTACCAGACACCCTGTGGAGAGATCAGTTCAGAAGAGTTGTTGGGCATCTTGAAGCTAAAAGGAATACTTTTTCGGTTTGGTATTGTCAACACATGTGTTCCTCTCTCAAGTACTGGGTTACACTTGAGAAACGAGAAACAGCCTCCTAACGTGATTTATCAACTTTCTTAAAATAGAATTCAGAAGAGACTTCTAGATTAGTGAGATGGCAAAAATAAACAGCAAAGAAGTGATTTCAATAGTGACGACTCTCATTAAGTGCCCATTGCCAAATTTAGCCCATAGGCAGTTGTTTTAATTAAAAAATATTTTTAACCTGCATTCTTATTGGCTATGTGAAGTCTGGGTGGCTTTTGGATTCTTGGAAGCCATTCTCTTGTCTTCTGTAAATGTGTGCTACCCTTTAACCACTTCAAAATGAATTAAAAACTGGAAAGACCGAAAGTCAGCCAAGCTACATGAGACTCCAAGAACTAATGCAAATCTGACTTGGGTTATGTAATTTGGAAAGGGTTGTTTCCTTGTGTCTCGCTGGCCTTCTGAGGTCCATATTTGGTTGTTCCATTTAGTAACGGTAGAAGGGCCGTTACTGCGAGCAAGAACAATCGGAAAGCAGCAATACCCCTTCTTTTTGTGAGCTACTCATGAGAGAGATTGGAGCCCATGTAATTAATCAGCATTTCGGGGCCAAATGCCTGGTCACCTGGCTTGAAAAGATACTCTGGTTTAGAAAATATAGATGCTGGCTGGATCAAAATGGTGGGTGGCATGCTACTCTTGGCTACTCAGGAAGACCAAATGGAAACAGCTTGCTCTGAATGCAAAACAGCCAGAACCCTGGGGCGGGCGGGGGTGGGGGGGCGGGGGGGAGAAGCACCATGCCAAGCACTGGGAAGACACCATCACCTCACTGGTGTACTCACAATCAGACGACCCGGTGTGAGCGTGAGAGTTTGTCAGTGAATGTGTTGAGTGGATGAGGGCTGGAGACAAAACAGCTTCAAAGTTCAGGCAGGGAAGGCCCGGCTTGGCGCTGGATCCACCCGGCTGAGTAATCTCATTCTCCTCAGATGCCTTCTGGTTTTCAGCTGTCTTGGGTTTCTTCCTGAGAATAAACAAAGGGCTCTTTGAAGGAACTGACTGCATATTTGGGAAAAGGCATTTTTAGAATCTGTTAAAGATAACTTGATTTTTTTTTTCTGAAGGGGGATGGGAGGGAGTCCAGTATGTCCCTTGTTTTAAAACAAGCTGATTCTTGTTTTTTTCCCTCCAGTAATGGCCTAACTGGGAACACATGAAAGCATATGGGCCAAGCAAACAGCACCACATTTGGACTCTGTTGGCTGTATAAAAAGACCCTGTCCCAGAACTTTAGACAGCTTGAGCTACGTATGGCTGACATTATCCAAGAAAGCATCCTTTTCCCCCCTTAGAGTTCTAACATGGTCTGGAAACAATACTAGTGGAGGTTTACCGTTCTAGCATTTGTCAGGACGCTTAGAGACAGGACCCGTGGAGTAATGGGAAGAGCACTGGACTGGGAGTCAGGAGACTTGAGCTACGGTACTAGCTGTGCCTGCAACTTGCTGTGTGGCTTTGGGCACCTCACTTCACCTCTCTGGGCTTCAGTTTCCTCATCTGCAAAATAAAGGGCTTAGATTAGAAGGCCCTACAAGGCTTCTTCTAGCTTCAAGTCTCTGTTCTTGGAACACACTATGGAGTATCCCACTCTCCTGTTTCTATTAGTTTTATTTGAAGTCAACGCATAATTTCAAATCACAGCCTCAATCTGCAGGCTGTCCAGACGAGAGGGGCAGTGGCAGAGGTATTTGTACAGTAGAAAGTGGAAAGCGACTGAGAAGAGCTTAGGTTCCAGTAGGTAAAAGCGGGAAGGTGGCGCACACAGTCTCCACCCTACTCTATTCATCCAGGCCTTAAGCCGCTCTTTGATCTTAGGTTTAGTCCGCGCTCCCAGAGTTTAGGAGTGTGGCTGGGGTTTGCCTTGTGAGAAAGCAATTGCTGACGGGGAACAGAAAGGTGGAAGTATTCTTCGGGGTCAGTAACAGAAAGGGCAATAGTTCAGCTGTCAGTCAGCTCAGGGCTCCTTTCCCCACGGCAATGCAATCCATGGTAACTAGCAAAGCAGCATCTACAGCAGACAGACCCCAGACCCCAGAAAAAAGGGATTATGAGTTCCTCCGTGAGCACATCCCCAGTTTCTGTGGCTTTGTGTCTTTTTCTATCACTATGTAACCATAGAGTATGTTTTTTTTTTCCTTTTTGGATAGATTATGTGTGGGACATAATTTGTTGTAAGTCGCTGTGTTTCCATGTTCTCCTTGTTTCTATGAGCATGGCATTGGACTTGTATACAGAATATTTCGTATTGAAATGTGTTGTACTGGGTAGTCAAATCTGCCCTCGCAGAATATGGTGTTATGATTAGTATGCTGTGTTTTTAGTCCAACAGGTTGTGAAATCAAATCTGTTTCTTCAGAGGGCACAAGGCAGAAATAGCATGGTAAAGATTGGAATTGGGGGGAGAGGGGACTTTCTGATATATTTCTCAGTGTGGAGAAAGCCAACATAATAACAACAAGCCTTATCATTGCCGAATGGGTGACTCTGGGGCTAGCCCTCGAATCCTATGCCTACCTGTGGAACCCCCAAGGATCTGTTACTCTGCTTTTTCAAATTAAGAGAGCATCCAAGTTCAAAGTCTCCAGAGTCAACCCTCCCCCTCTGTTTCCCCTAGGAGAAGCAATGCTTGCTGAGGCGTCTATTTCTAGTAGTGTGGTCTGCTGCGGAAGCCCCAGGTGCAGCGCTCACCTTCCTCTGCCTCAGCTTATCCTGTAGTCCTCTCAAGTCTGCTCCCTCTGCAGGCAGCTGCCATAACCCTTCCTGGTGCAGTGCTGCCCACTAACCCCCCACCCCCCCCAGTCCTGCTGCTTTCCATTCACTAAATCCTGCAGGACCATGGCAGTCTGGCATTCAAGGTCAGTTGCTTATCTGCCCTATCTTATCTCATGGGTCCCATATATGGGCCACCTTGGAGCTTGTTTATCATTCCCAGAGCTCTGGAATGTACATTCTGGGCTCTTCACCTTTACTCACTACTGTTCTTGCTTTGAACAGCTTTTTCTCATCTTTGCCTGGGAAAAGAGGTGTGCCCTTCACACTTATTAAATGCGAGCTCCACGTTATACTGCTGTGGGTCCCCTCTTTCTGAAAGGACGACTCTTCTCCAGATGATCCTGAACTCTCTAGTAGTTTCAGCATTCTTGTTTGACTCACTAGATCTTCTTTCAGTAAACTGTTACATGCCATTACTTCTAGGAGAGAATAACCTCTCTGTGGGAAGGGGAATGTTTTAGTTATTGTTATATTCCTGGTGTTCATCCTTCCTTGCCTTCTGCCTTTCTGCTCCTCCCCTCATTCACTCATCCACATGTTCATTTTACAAATACCATGTGGCTGTGATGTGTTACACAATCTGGGTCCTGTCCTCCCTGAGTTTACTGTCTAGTCTATACTGTGAACCAGGGCAACTTATACACAGCAGCCATTCAAAAGCTGTTTGCTGATGGAATTTAACAGAGCTGAAATTCAAGTACACTTGGAGACTAGTCCCAGTCTGAATCTCAATTAAGCTTCCTAGTTTTTATGCAGCAGTGGAATCAACCTGGATTGGTTGCTTTTTCATTGATTACATGAAGAGTATTTAATAAGAGTGGCTGGTCTTTGTAATTCATCTAAATATAGGGACAAATCACCAATGGCCATTACCATGTAGCAGAAAAGAAATGACCTCTGGTGCTTACAGACAAGGCCTGAGCTAGTTTCAAACATGTGGTTCAGAGAATTAAGGGTGCTCTCTTCCAAGCACTAGCGCACTGCCCAACCACCAATGACTCTAATTTAATCCTGGAGACAGTGCACTGTTTACATCCTTGCCTTTTGTCTTGAACTGGATTTTGATACCTGTCTGAAATCCTGTGCTTCACCTTATGTCTAGGAGCACCTTGGGAGGCCGTTCCAGCTACCTCTGCAAGAAGAATACATTCAAAACCAACCTACCTGGCTCCTTCCCTTATTCGCTTAATATCACTTTATTTGTCCTTTTACCATTGGCTGTTTCCCAGCTCACAGACAAGAGCACTGCACACTGTCTGTCGGAGCAGTTCCTCTCCGACCCCAACCGCTGGCTTTCACAATTCTTTGGGACTCCTTTTTCTGAAGCCAAGAAACAGCAACACCTACCACCAGTCTGTCTGACACGCACAGGTGCTCTTCTACGGCCCATTTTTTTTTCTTTTGCAGTTTGTGGTTTATTAAGGAGGAAAGAGCAAGCTCTCTGGTAATTAACTGAAATGCCTTCTTTGGTTGCATAAAAAGGATTGTATAAACATGGCACATCTGAGGACGTGTCTGTACCAGCCCGTGTGGCTTGCACTATCCCCTGGAGTCTGTAGAGGGCAGCAGCACACTGGCTGACTTCAGGCAGCATTTCAGAGAGCAAACTCCTACCAGAACCTTCCTCCTGGTCACCATGCCAAAGGTTGGTTTGCCAAGCTCTCTCTGGCCTCTCAGTCTCTTTCAAGTTTGTTCTCTCCCCCGCCTGCTGTGCATCTCTCTCTCTCTCTCTCTCTCTCTCTCTCTCTCTCTCTCTCTCTCTCTCTCTCTCTCTCTCTCTCTCTCTGTGTCTCTCTCTGTCTGTCTTTCTCTGTTAAAATTGTACACTGTGATGAGGTGGCCCCTCAACCGGAAAATGCAAACTTCGACGAAAAAGTCAGACAGGCCAACGACAACAAAGGAAAACCCGGGGGAAAGGGGAAAGGGGCCGTGAGCGAGAAAGACTTCAGAACAAGAAAAGGGCAGATGTTTCGTAAATATATGCAAAGCAAAACTGGGTGTACCCTGAACACTTCCACAGAAAAACAGGCCAATCATTGTGCACTTCCTCCCGCCACGCTGGTGGAGCTCTGCATTCAAAAAAACAGAAAAAAAGAAAAGAAAAAAAAGAAAAAAAAAAGTGTGGCCACAGGCACCCGCCTTTCAACGGTCAGTGCTGACATTCTGACTGAACATGTCCCAATTGTCCAAAAAGAACAAAAACATTTTCATCTCCCCACTGTGAACATTTTTGTTATGAGAAAAAGGCTGCTTTAAGAAGTAGGAAGGCGGTTTAAGGTGAAGGGCGCCTGGCCGGCCGGCCGAGCTAGCCAGCAGAGCCTTCTGTTTTTAACTCTCCCTGTGCTGGCCCTGCCAGAAAGTTTAGGGCTGAAATATAGCAGTGAGCAAGGCTGTGGAGGATTCTGGCTCTTCCCTAACTAGACCATATTGTTTGTGCAAAGAAATATGCATTAAAACATATGGATGCGCTGTTAGGTATTAAGCATGTTAAATGCATTGAAATCAGGCAGATCGGTGGTGTTGGATGTATATAGTTCACACTCCTTCGCACATATTGCACACATACAGTGATGGCAATACTTTCTGCAACATATGGAAAAATAAATATTTTATCCGTGTGAGCTCTTATCAGTCTCCAGGGTCTGTGGAGAGGCGAGTGCTTCTCTCTCTCTCTCGCTCTCTCTCTCTCTCCCAATTCTCTCCCTTCAGTGGGCTCCCACCCTCTCCTGCACATTAGCAGGCTTTCCACTTACCAGCCTGGTTAGATAGGAAAGGATTAGTCAGAACCTCCCTTTGATAAATAATTACTCAGTCATTGGATCAGGATAATTTAGAGCAGCGATGCCTTCCTCAGCCTTTTTGGAGTGGCCCCTATTTCCCTCCTCCGCTTCACAACTGTAGAGTGTCTGGGGAGGGGCTGGGGTGGAAGTAAAAAGCCACCACCACTCCCACCTGGGGAGGGGGACTTAGGAAAACTGAGCTCCACAGCTAGCAGCCATGTGCCCAAGGCAGGGCAGTCAGCATCTCTGAGCCCCCATGTTCCATCTGCAAAATGGGAACAGAGATCCCTTCCGGCTGTGGACTGTGGGTAAGAATCAAGGAGATGAGCCAGGCTGTGTTTAGCACAGTGCTGGCCCAGGAGCAATTATTCTATGGTGGAGCTTTTTGAAAAGTATAGTTCTGTGGTGTCCATGTTAGCTGTGTAAGTTAGGCATCTTCATTTTAGTAATCTTTTGAATATCTAGGTCAGGGCAAGGGCCGAAGGATTGTTATTGTAGTGAACAGAGAAGGAATGTTAGGTTCAGCAACCTCTTCTTCCCACCCTGGTCTCCCCGCCCCCCACCTCTCTTCTGTTCACATGCTTCTCATTGCTGTGGCTTCACTGAGAGCTCCTTGGAGCTGAGGGTCAAACAAGCTGCACTTGGCCGGCAGTAGCCCATGGGCCCGAACACTATGGTCTATTCATGAAAGCACCCTCTAGGACTGTTGCTTATCATGCCTTCTTACAATTTATCCTTTCACAACTTGGCCCAATATTCTCACATTAATTTAAAATGTTTTCATGATTAAAGCATTTTATTATCTCAATCTTTTTTTCCCCTTCTTCTTGGCAGGGCTGATTTACAATATTTTTCAGTGTCTTTCCTCACTGTAGCCAGGATCCTGGCAGGAAATCAATGGTACATGTAAAGGTTCTCCTCCACTGCCCCCCCCCTCCCCTTTTTATTTTGAGACAGGGTTCATTGTGTAGCCTTAGCTATCCTGGAACTAGCTCTGTAACTGGCCTTGAACTCACAGAGGTCCACCTGCCTCTGCCTCCCAAGTGCTGGGATTAAAGGCGTGTGCCACCACTGCCCAGCTCCATGTAAATGTTTTAACTAAAGGGAGTTTGATGAAGGAATTGCATCTCAAGGTGTAGATGAGACCAAGGCACACTCTCAAGAGATGGCGGAGCACCAGAGACTGGCAACAATGCAGAGCGGTTGATCTCGTCTTTATCGCAGGGAACCTGGAAGCCAAGAGAGGGGCACGTTTTTCTGAACTGAGTCAGGATGGCACCAGAGTGCGCTCTGACATTCTCCCTTCTTCCTGCTACCAATTTCCATCTCTTACAGAAGTCTTCTTTAGTCCTGATTGTCAGGGAAGCTAGAGAACAGTGAGCCTGGGTACTGGAGTCCCGAGAAGTCTCTGGGTCACGCCCTAGGACAGGGAATGGCAGGGGGTCGGCAAGGTTCATTAGCATACCTATTGTCTCCCCTTTGCACTTCTTTCACACTTTCCTCTCAATTATACTTTCTGGAAGGAAAAAGGAAAATCAAATCAAATCAGTCCTCTGTTAGCTTCCATGTACCTATTTTGTCTGTTTGCCATTTATAGAGCAGGGAAACTGAATGTAAGCTCACAAGTGGGGATTTGTTTGTGTTCCTTGCTACTATATCCCAGTGCCCAGAATAGTGTCTGGCACCCACTGAATGCTCAGCAAATTTTAGTGGAGTAAGTAGATATAGTCATCTCTGCTGTGCCAGATCCTCTATATACATCATCTCGCTTAATTATCACAACAGCAACAGTAAGTAGGCAGGCTTTCGCATGTGTGCAGGTAATCGTGATAAAACCCAGCACTTGCTTCAACCATCACCTCTCAAACTTTGGGAAGAGGGGCAGAGCACTGGCAGCTCCCAGGACACTCTCAGAAAGGAACACACTTTTGTAAAATTCCCGTTTTTAATATTTTTCCCGACTTGGTGACTATTTCTTTGGTGTATATAACAGTCTCTGAAGAGTAGACACTACTAGGGTTATAATCCAACCTGCCCATTCCCCCAGGGCCCAGGAGAAGACGAAACACCATTCTGAGGCAAAAACAGGTGGGCTGTGCATTTCCTTGCAATTTCCCAAGAAAGATCAGATCCCAATTCTTAGGTCTAGGTCTGTGTTCTCTGCAGCACAGGAATGGAGGCGTTGTACAGAACACACAAACCTTGACACCAGTCTACATCCTAGCAAGACTGCACTATTGGCACAGGCATCCTTCTGTGTTGAAGCAAAATTCAGACGTGAGAAACTATTCAGATGTGAGGATTTTGAAGGGACTACTTGCACTCGAACATAAGGATAAATTATGCAATTAAATTCCCTGTGTGATTATAGGCAGAAGAAACAATTTATGGTTTTTCTCTCATGTCATTAGGCCTTACTTAGTCCCTCAATGTCCTTCATTTCCCATCTTGGCTAGAAAGGCCTGTCCATCACCTACATACTAGTTATCATCAATTATCATCCAAGAGACCAAATACATAATGGGTAAAAAGACTCAAAACAAAATTCTAGCTTCATTTCCTTGGATTTGAAGTATGCTAGAACAGCTAAAAACACAGATAACATGAATGTGAAAAATCCTATCTGGCACCTAAGAGGAGGAGTATTAGCCTCTCAGGTTTAGTGTTTTCCAGTAACACAGACTTCTGCAAATCACCATCCCATTAACTGTCTAATACTGCACAGGAAAACTTGTAAGTACAATTAAAATGAGATTTCATTTTAAAATGCATAATTATTTTGCATGCATACCTTCTAAACAATTCAAATTTCTGGTGTTTCTTAGTGGAAAAAAGCATGTATTCATCTATTAGTTTTAATATGATTGGTTAGTAAATTTTCATTAGTTTCCTGTGGATATTGACTCTCCTACCTGTCTTATTTCCTTGTGAGGGATATATTTCTACAGAAACGCCCTGTGTACAAGGAACTCAATCAGCTACACAGTGCCATGAACCCAGGGGGCAGAGCAGATCTGGCTTGATGGGCTGGAAATATGGCGGAAGGCCCCGAATTCCAAAAGGAAGCCGTGGCTCCTTACAGTTGCAAGGAAGCAACAACATGGGGTGTGTCCCAGGGGTCATGTAGGCATAGGCAAGGAAGCTGGCTCAAAGATCTGACCCGGGTGACATGAAAGGACAAGCAACTGCAAGACTCAATAGACGGGCACATGACGAGCTGTAAGCACAGAAGAGTAGCTACCGCCATCTTGGGAAGAGGCACACATGACCAAGTAGAATAGCTCTAGTCCCTGCAAGGTGTACAGAGATTCAGCATGACACAGCCACCAGGAGATGGGAGACAGATGGGACACCCAGGCATGCATGCAATGAATGCTGGTAGCTGAAAACAGCTGCGGGTATTGGGGCTGGTCACCTAAGAGATGAAAGTGTACCTAAAAGATGAAGCTATTTCAACTTTTACCTGCTTTTACAATTGTGTGGTTTATCATCATCATCATCATCATCATCATCATCATCATCATCATCATCACCATCATCCTCTATTAAATGAAGTAAACTAATTCACTAGAGGCATAATGTACTTACAGTAGTTTTCAGATAAATGGTGTCACTCTTCAGGTAATTCACTCCAAGGCTTGGGCCTAGTGCAGATGTTCATTGGGGCAGGGGACAGAGAGCGGCTGCATCTATCAGAAACAAACAACAAAACAGCAAAGGTCGTTAAATGAGTAGTCATGGTTACGGCATTCTCTGCTCATTTATTTAACGGTTTTTGACAGAGATGAACTAAGGAACATGACTGAGGCTGGCTCTGCATCTTTGTTCCTCAGTGTTTCTGCTGGCTGCTGGGATGTCTGAGACATCAGAGCACCCTTGCAGTGCAGATGAAGTGGCTTTGGGAAGCTGAGTGGAGGTTAGACCAGACAGACTGGGACAGCACCTTTCCAACTTGGCCCAGTCAATGCTTCTGATGTTTTACATGTATTGATTGTTAGCTGACACAAATTTGTGGAACATATAACACAATGTTATCACGATGTTATGAGGTTTGTGTTCATTGTGGAATAGACAAATTCAGCTAATTAGTATATCTACTGCCTCACATTATATTTTTTGGTGATAGTTGTTTTTTTTTTAATCCTAGGGCAGGCAGTAAACCGTAAATCTCAGCAGCTGCCTGTAGGAAGAGAAAAGAGAAGAGAAGGGGGGGAAATCTCTGAATGTATGTCTTGTCTAGAATAAAATTTTTGTTTAGGCTAGAAAAATGTCTAAATAAAATTTAGTATTCTTTGAACACCCCCATAGCCTATGTTAACCACCATTTTATTCCCTGCTTCTATGAGTTTTTTTGTTTTGTTTTTCTCGATACAGGGTTTCTCTGTGTAGCTTTGCGCCTTTCCTGGATCTCGCTCTGTAGCCCAGGCTGGCCTCAAACTCACAAAGATCCGCCTGCCTCTGCCTCCCAAGTGCTGGGATTAAAGGTGTGTGCCACCACCGCCCGGCTTGCTTTTATGAGTTTACCTCTTTTGGATTCCATAGGTAAGAAAGAGCATGCTATGCTTATCTTCCTATGTCTGGACTATTTCACTTAGTGTTTCCAGGTTCACTCACGGCAGTGGCAAAGCTGCCTTCTTTTGACAGGCTGAGTAGTACTGCGCGGTGTCCAGGTACATCCCAGCTCTGGTATTTCTGACTCCCTTCAGTCTCTCCCTTGCACCTGCTCAGGCACTGCTTCTCCTGAAGACAGCCACTTCCCTGGTTTGGATTCTTGCCTTCTCCCTGTTCCCTTTGCAGAGAACTGAAGAACTTATCTTTAACTCCAGGGAGCACAGTCTTAGAACGTTTAGATTATGATCTGTCTCCAGGGGCCTCCCGCTCACTACCCCCTCACCCCTGACATTCCTGCCTTCTGGGTCCTGCTCAGGGTTCACTTTGTCCCTGAAACTTACCCACCTTTGTGATGGGGCAAGACACTGTCCTGCTTGTCTCCCTGTCTCGAGCCTGCTGCTGTGTGTCCTGCACTCTGCTTGTTCCCTTCTCCTCTTCCCTTGATAGTAAATTCTTTAACATTCCCTCCGCGGGCTTTGTCTAGAACACTTGCCTGGACCTCAACAGGCACGTCCCAGAGGGCATCTACACTGCTCTATCTAGCTCTTGCTCACTGCAGTACCACTGACCTGTCTTCTAAGGCCAGCTAGTGACCAGTGCACTCGCCATTTGTTCACCAGTGTGCATACTGTATCCAGGAGACCCTTGGAAAAGATGAGCATCTCAGGGTCTCTAACTCTTCGAAACTTAACACCTCTGATGAGTATTACCAGCTCTTTTAAGTTAGAAACTTTAAGACAGACCTCACTTGTGTTTCTCTCCAAATCTGTTGCTACCCTAGAATTGGTGCTACCTCTACTCCATGGCTTGTCTACAGTTGAGCAGTTATCCTGATGTTTTTGCCTTTCCAAAGCCAATCAGCTGCCAAGTTCTTCCTCTGGTCAACTTTCCTGAATCTACTTGTTTTTGGTACCTACCACCATTACCTCTTACCTACCGCCTGCTGCCAGAACACTGGCGGACATCTCCTGACTGCCTCTCTTCTTCTAGTTTCTTTTCGTTTTACACCAACATTCCACTTTTCTAACACTGGTACATTAGTGTTCTAAAGCACCACCCGAAACACATTCCTCCTGTGCACAAAAACCCCTTTGACGACTGCATAAAATTCAAACTTCTCAACTTGACATTGAGTATGTAATAAGGATCCCGATTCAATTTTCAATTCTTGTCTATAGTTCATTCTACACATCAGCAAAGTCCCACTCTTTCCCACCTGTTCATGCTATTTTTCTCTAATTCCAATGTCTACATAGACCTTCTTTAAGGGCCATTAAATACCACCTCATTTAGGAAGCATTTCTCAAAGGGAAATGCCCTGGAATCCTCAAGCACTGATTTACAGGACCCCCTGGCACAGTCTACTGACTCCAATCACCATTTGTATCATTTCTCTCCCCACTCTTGAAAAGCAGAGACAATATCCCAGGGTGGAGGCTTCAGAAACAGCCTTAGAAGCAAATTTTCTCTCTGACTCTCTCTTGTCCTCCTCTGTCCTATCTCTTTTCATAACACAAGTCACAGAAATGAGAGATTCTTTTCTGCAAAGCAGGAGATAGAAACTGGAACCCTTTTCCTAAGAGCAGATCACGAAGCTTAAAAATACCGTTCTAATCTTCCCATGCCTTTCTGTGTAGGAACAGGCCGTAAATGTCCTGACATACCTTGTTTGGAAGTAGATCCTAAGACCCCAGGTTAAGAAATGGTCCTGTCCAACCGAGGTAGAAGGAATGCTACACAGAGAGGCCAGCAAGAATCTGAACAGACAGGCCTTGCTGGGTTTCTGTGAGGAGTCTACTACCATTAGGTCACACTCCTTTTGACCAATCATATTTCCACACAGCTGTCCATTCTCTAGCAAGCTTAAACATGGATGGCTCACCCTGTATCCTTGGGTATGCATCCTGAAGTCTTTACTATCAGGTAGACTTGTGCTCCAATGCATTTCTTGAGCTCTTCTCTTGTGACTAGTCTTTAGCTATAGTGGTGTTGGCAAAGTCCTTCTATGGGGTATAGAACAAGGACCACACCTCTTTTCCTGCCCCCAGAGTACAATCCCTTGCATATGGATGTGTGCTCAACTGATGTTGGCTGAGAGCAATTCCAAAGGAAAAAGGAATCTTGCTTAGAAGGCGTAGAAACTGAGGACGAACAGAAAGGACTTTGAAGCTCATCTACTCCACTGTCCTTGTGATCAGATGAGGAGATTAAGGGAGCCGACTTCTCAAGGTCCTATCCTTGTTAACAACTAAGCAAGGATAACTGATATAAAAGGTCTTGTGTCTTTAAATATCTTTCAGGGCCTGATAAATACCAATAAGCCTACCAGACCACCAAGAGTGAAGTCCAGACCAAAAGGCCAGACCAGAGACAGGGAGAGTTTGTGGGAATACAATGTTTCAAAAATAACAAACTTGTTTCAGTTATTAGCATCAACAAACTGAGCAAATAAATACCATTTTTATAGTTCAATAACACCTTAAAATGAGGGTGGATCATAAAAGCAAAGAAGCAGATTTTTCTAATGTTACCAGCAGTAATAATTATGATAATACTGAAAATACCACTGCTGTGATAAACTCAGACTGAAGACTAGGATGAGGCTCCTCGCACTTTGAAAAGGCATGGCATCGGCTACAGTTCATGGTGGGAACAGGCTGCAGTAATTCTATGGTTAAATTTAATATAGCCGGTCCGCAGACTTGCCGCATTAACACTTCTATTCCCAGCTAGCTTTGTTCACTCTTCGGGCTCTGGACGTGCTTACATTTGCACTTATCTTTCTCCTTATTTAATGGCTGCTCCACGTTTCATCTCATTTTCTTGCCTAGTTTCCTTCCAGGGATAGAAGAAATATTGTTTGTTCCATTTCTCCTCTGACCTCAAACAGAATCATTCTTTCTTAGTCCTAAATGAAAAGCTAAAACAAAGCAAACAAACAAAAAACCCAAACCAAACTAAAACTACAACCAAAAACAACTGCCTTGGGATAGTGGGCTTACCATAGCAAGTAGAACAGGGCTTCCAGGAGTTAGCTGTCATTCTCACTGGCCAAGAGAGCTTCCTCTCAAACATCAGTCTGCACTATAGGCTCTAGAGTACCACGAGGCCTCGCCCACTCAGTGTTGGCCAGCAGAGGAAGAAGACGGTGATATCCATCAAACCCTTTCTGGCTGGTACAGTGCAGAGGTGCCATGAATTGACCCATTGACCTTGGCAGCTGCGTAAGCAGTGAAAGTGGGCCCAGAAACCGTTCACTGTTCTTTCTAACACATCGAATGGCTAGAGATTATTAATAGTTCACCACACCGAACTTTCCTCTTTTTCATCTCCTGGCAACTACATTAAGGTAAGAAAGACAATCACTGATCAATATTCTCCCACATTGCAGTGAACAATTACCTGGCAATACACAGATCTCCTCTATGTAATTAGTTAAGTGTACATGTTCAGGACACATAACAGTTTACTACAAGGGTGGAATTTATAATTAAACAGAGGCATAATCTTCCTGTCCTTTAATCAAGCCCCTTTCCTTCCCATCCTGCCATGATCTTCCAGTTCTTGGCAAACTGTCTTCTACCCCTATTTCCTTATTTGCCCTCTCAGGTGCCTGCACACACCTGAGGGTCTATTAATCAGTGCTACTGTGTGGTCCGTAATGTTGATTGCTTAAAGGGCAGTTATACTCTTAAAAAGAGTCAGTGGAGATGACTTCATGGGGTTTCATATTTATTCCCTGTTAATGACTTCCATATCCAGTGGACTTAGTTTTTAAGTTAAAAGGTAATTTTTGAGGGGCTGCTGGTGCCACAAATTCTATCAAGACTCTGGAAATCCAGCTGTTCTCTCTGCCTCTTACATCACCACTGTGATAAAGAATCTGCCCCGATGCAGAACAGAGGGTCACTTTTCTTTAGCTTGCTGCTTTGCTGGTGTCTCTGTACACCTGCCTCAGGAAGCTGTCTCAGAGTATGTCATACTAAGGTGTGACTTTATTGTGGCCTTTGCTACTCACTCCTCAGAGGTCACCAAACCAATGTAAAATGGAAGAGTCCTTCCAGGGTGGAAGCTCACA